CCCTGCACCGGGACCCCGGCTTTGCGCCCTCCAGCCGGGTGCAGGCTTCTTGCCGGGTGCGGGCAGCCATTGGCTGCAGATGAGCTCAGCCTCTAGCTGTTAGAATAAACCACCAATCAGCGCCCAGCTCGGCTTCTGCCGGCCCCTAAAGTCGCAGCGTAGGCGGGGCGGAGCGCTAGCGGGTGGGGGCAGGATTGGGGAGAGGGTGGGTACAAGGACCTCTCCCGGCTTTGTTCGCTGGTGTCCCCCAAGTGCCTAGAACAGCATCTGGCACACAGTATTGCTAAATAAGTATTTGCTGAATGAATGAATGAATGAATGAATGAGCTTTGAAGTGTTTGAAGAGGGCGGTGGAGGAGAAAGTTCTGGGCGAAAAATATGTATAAATGCCTCAAGAAATCAAGGGAGAAAAATAACATCTGCACATCAAACAGAGGATGTAAAATCTTTTGATAAAATTTAACACTCATGCATGATAGAGACAATCTCTTTACTGAACAAAATCTAAACAAACTCATGGACTTAATCCTTAACTTGATAAAGGATTATCTACTAGAAACTGAGAGCATATGTGATGTAACTTACATCATATGCGGTGGTGGGGCATGAGACCCATTCCCACGGTCCTTCTGGCATATGGTAGGGTCACACTTCCCTCCCCCAGTGGAAGTTAGGCTTGGCCATGGAACTTGCTTTGAAATGCCAGTGGGCAGACATGGTTTACTTTACAGTAGAAGCTCCAAGAGCCAGCCCATAATTCACTTGCCCCTTCCACCATGGTTATCGTAGAAGCACATGTCCATGGAGGCATGGAACGTCCATCCGCCTGAATCTCTGAGAAACAACACTAAGGAACTCCTCCCTGCTCCATGGCTTGTATTGGACATGGGGTGTAAGCGAGAAATGCATTTTTTAAAAAATATGTTTTTATTGCCGAAACTGGTTTGGCTCAGTGGATAGAGCGTCAGCCTGCGGACTGAAAGGTCCCAGGTTCGATTCCGGTCAAGGGCATGTACCTGGGTTGCGGGCATATCCCCAGTAGGAGATGTGCAGGAGGCAGTTGATCGATGTTTCTCTCTCATCGATGTTTCTAACTCTCTATCTCTCTCCCTTCCTCTCTGTAAAAAATCAATAAAATATATTTTTAAAAAATGTTTTTATTGATTTCAGAGAGGAATGGAGAGGGAGAGAGAGATAGGAACATCAATGATGAGAGAATCATCGATTGGCTGCCTCCTGCACGCTTCCCCAAACCCCCCGGTTGGGGATCAAGCTGCAACCCAGGCATGTGCCCCTGACCAGTATTGAACCCAGGACTCTTCAGTCTGCAAGCCAGCACTCTATCCACTGAGCCAAACAAGCCAGGACCTGAGAAATGCATTTTTTTAAAAAAATATATCCCATTGATTTTTTACAGAGAGGAAGGGAGAGGGACAGAGAGTCAGAAACATCGATGAGAGAGAAACATTGACCAGCTGCCTCCTGCACACCTCCCACTGGGGATGTGCCCGCAACCAAGGTACATGCCCCTGACCGGAATCGAACCTGGGACCTCTCAGTCCGCAGGCCGACGCTCTATCCACTGAGCCAAACCGGTTTGGCTGAGAAATGCATTTTTATTGTGTTAAACCACTAGATTTTGGGATTGTTTGTTACTGCAGCATACCTTGACCTATCTTGAATGATATACCAATGCAGTCAGAAATGAATCAAAATACTCTTCAACAATACACTGGAAGTTACAGTTAATGCAATAAGAAATTAAAGCAAATATGAGGTTTAAAAATTGAAGGGAAGAGACCAAATTGCCATTATTTGTGATGATGTGATTGTTCACCTGGAAAACCCAAAGCAATAATTGGTGAGTGCAGCAAAATGTCTGGATACTAGGCCAATATTTTTAAAAATATGTTTTTATGTATTTTAGAGAGGAGAGAGAGAGAGAGAAACATTGATGTGAGAAACGTAATGTGCTATCTCCTGCCCACCCCTTACTGGGAATCGAGCCTACAACACCAGGTGACCCTTTGGTGCAGGGCACTAGATCACTATTTACACATCAAGAACTTTCCTATATATCAGCAATAATAATTTGAAAATTCCTATATAATAAAAGCCTAATATGCTAAGTGTCCGGTCATCTGTTCAACCAATCAAAGTGTAATATGCTAATGATATGCTAAGGCTGCTTGCTATGACGTGCACTGATCACCAGGGGGCAGATAGGTAATGGGTCGACCAGTTGCTTTGACGTGCCCTGGGGACAGATGCTCCACAAATTTCAGGAACCGAGAAAAGACAAGTGTGTCAGACCTTAGGGAAATAGGCATGAGATGAGGTTGGAGAGATGACTGGACATGCCCTGGAGCCCTCCCACTGTCCCTCCCCAACTGGCCAACCTCCTGCATCTCTCCCCTGCCCCGATCATGCACCAGTGGGGTCCCTCAGCCTGACCTATGCCCTCTCGCAATCTGGAGCCCCTAGGGAGATGTCAGAGAGCCAGTTTCTGCCTGATCCCACAGGCCAAGCTGAGGGACCCCACTTGTGCACAAATTCATGCACCGGGCCTCTAGCCTTATATAATAAAGTGGTAATATGCAAATTGACCATCACGCCCTCACACAAGATGGCTGCCCCCATATGGTCACAAGATGGCTGGCAGGGGAGGGAAGTTGTGGGTGATCAGGCTGGCGGGGAGGGCAGTTGGGGGCAATCAGGCTGGCAGGGGAGTGGTTAGGGGGCAATCAGGCAGGCAGGCAGACAAGCGGTTGGGAGCCAGCAGTCCCGGATTGTGAGAGGGATGTCCAACAGTCGGGCTGGCAGTCGGACATCCCCTGAGGGGTCCAAGATTGGAAAGGGTGCAGGCTGGGCTGAGGGACCCGCCCCCCCCCAGTGCACAAATTTTGTGCACCTGGCCTCTAGTGTAATAATAATTTAAAATTCCCATTCACATAGTAACAAAAACTATAACATATTTAGGAATAAATTAATTAGAAATAGCCCTGGCCAGTGTGGCTCAGTTGGTTGGAGCATTGTTCCATACACCAAAAAGTGGCAGGGTTTATTCCCAGTCAGGGCACATACCAAGGTTGCAGGTTTGATTCCCCAGGCAGGGTGCATGCAGGAGGTGGCTGATCAGTGTTTCTCTCTCACATCCATCTCTCTCTCTCTCATTCCCTCTGTCCTTTCCTCACTCTAAGATCAATTTAAAAAAATTTACAAACTTAAAAAAACAAACAAAACACCATTTAAAATAATAATAATTAGAAATATATGACCTTTATGGAGAAAACAATAAAATTCTACTGAAAGGCACAAAAAAGACTCAAATAAATGGGGAGTTGTACCAGGGTATTGTGTTCAACAATGGGATGACTACCACTGTAAAGATGTCAATTCTCTTCAAATTAATTAAAAAATTCCCTGCAATTCCAATAAAAATACCAAAGGAACTCTTCATAGAACTTAGAATAGGATGATTCTAAACTTCATGTTTATTCATTCACTTAACAAAACTTTTGGAGGGCCTACTATGGGCCTGACCCTTTTCTAGGTATCCTCGTGGTTAACACAAACAAAAAAGCTTTCATGGAGCTGTCATTCTAATGGAAAAAACAGTAATAAATACATAGGCATATCCAATATAATAAAAGCATAGTATGGAAATTGTCCCCTCGACCAGGAGTTGTCCAGGAGTTCGACCAGGGGGCGGGGCCAGCTGGGGGAAGGGAGGGAGCCCAGCCAGCAGCTGCTAGGGACCCTATCAGTGCACGAATTTTGTGCACTAGGCCTCTACAAAATACAGAATATCTGATGTGATTTTTTAATAGTATATGTAAATGTGCAGCAATAGCTGTTTGAAAAAGAACAAGTAGTGGTGGTTAGAAGCTTGCCTTACCAAATCAAAAGACATAGTCTAAAGCTGCAGTTTTTAAAACAGGTGGCATTGATGCACATAAATAGATGATATGAATAGACTAGAGTCCAGAAACTAAGTAGTGCATGTAGGGGGATTTGACTTAGGATAAAGAAGACATTTCAAGCCAGTGGATGAATTCTTCATGAGAGGTGTTGGGAAACTTGACTTAATTTATGGGAAAAAAATAATCCCTACTTCACACCATATACAAAAATAAATCCAAGTTTAAAATTAAAAATTAAAAAGAGAACAACCACAAATGTTTAGAAGAAAGTGTCCAAGAATATCATCATGATGTTCAGATAGAAACTAAAGTGCTTTTAAATATTCCTGGTGGGGAACCATTTAAAGTGAAAATACACATAATCTATGATCTAGCAATTATAATTCTAGATATTTAATCTAGAAAAACTTTTTTGTTTATTACTGCAGCATACCTTGCTGCAATTCATCGCAATTTTACCTGAAATATCAAAAAATTGGAAAAAGATTCCAAATTCAATCTTATGGAATAGAAATACAAAAATGAATTAATAAAATGTGGTATAATCATACAGTGAATTACTATTATCCAGCATTTTAAAGGAATAAATCAGAACTAAACCTACGTATATAAACATGCAAGCTCTCAGAAACATATTATTGAGTGAAAATAGTCAGTTCCCAAATGCTACTTATATATACGATTTATGTTGCTTAAATACACAAAACAATACTATATATTATCTATATGTTATAGTGTATTAGTCAGGATTCTCCAGAGAAACAGAACCAATAGTATGGATGGCTAGACAGACAGACAGATTTCTTACGACAAGACATAGGCTCATGAAATTATGGAGGCTCAGAAGACCCATGACCTGCCCTCTGCGAGCTGAAAAAGCTTTTCCGCTGCCTGGGAAAGCCTCAGCATAACGCCTATGGAGCATCTTATGTAAATCTTAAAACTGTTAGTTACTATTACCAATCCTTACTCACACCTGCTAACACCAAGGCAGAGAGAGGTTAAGAGGTTAAGCTTATACAGTTAGGAAGTAGGAGCGCTAGGAATCAAACCTTGACAGTTCGGCTCCAAAGACCCAGCTCTGGAGCACTATGCTGGTCACACACAGCTCCTAACAGCGGTCTATCCAGGGAGTGGAGGCTAGACCTGGACCTGGGGAGGGAGCAGGCAGTGGTCAAATGAAGCTCCACAGTTCCCTTTAATGTTCGATGTTTTTAAAGAACAGAGTAAACTGGTATGTATCTGTGCTGTTAAAATTAACTTTTAAAAATGATATGTTAAATTCTATACATGTGCTGAGAAAGTCATTTTTTCAGAAGAGAGTGAATAGTGCCCTAAGGAAGTAGACCGTGTTTCCTCAGCTTCTCATGGTGCACGAGACCCGAGACCCCGTGTGATGGGGAGGGGTGTTGGGGATTCTTTCCTGAGGAAGTGCCTTTGAGCTGAGTTATGGGTGATGCAAGTTTGTTAGTCAGCAAGGTTGAGAGGTTGGGTGTGGGAGGTGGGGAGAGGTTTCCTGGCAGAGGAAACAGCGTGAGCAAAGGGCCTGAGGGGGACACCACAAATTTCAGGAACCGAGAAAAGACAAGTGGGTCAGACCTTAGGGAAATAGGCATGAGATGAGGTTGGAGAGGTGGGAAGAGGTCAGACCTCATGGAGGCCTCCAGGTTGAAGAAAGGACTGGGAGTTTAAGAACAACAAAATGCTGACTGGTACCATGGAAATCTCTGGAATCCCTTTGGCACGGCTGTAGTGAATGGAAATGCCAAGAAAGAGACAAAAAGTGTAGACAACTCTCAAACGCCCAAGAGCCGCACAGGGAGGCATTGGAGGGAGCATGTGCAATCGAGGGATTGGTTTGATTTTTGCTGCTGTTGTTATTTTTATGATGGGAGAGACTTCTATACACAAAGACATATCCACAAGGATGTTCCTCATATAGCATTGTTTATTATAACAGCAACAAAAAAGAGAACCTAAATATTCAACAATAGATCAATTAACCAAATGATGGAATAGCCAAATGATGCAATGCAATTCAGGACTTTAAAAAATCATATTGCAGAAGGAGATCTAGTGTCATGGGGCGGGGGGAGGGGGAATGTCTACAATATATTAAGTTTAAAAGGCAAGTTATAAAATAACGAGTATATTACAATCTCGTTTTGGTGTCAGAAGGGAAGTGTAGTGGTAGCTGTCTGCTTCAGCTCTGCCATGCTCCCTGTCTTTGTGCCTGGGGGTGGGAGGAGGGAGTCTTTTGACATAATGTAACATCATAAAAACTATGCCCAGGGAAGCTTTACCAAAGAGGTTTATTTGTCTCGTGGATGCTTTCCTGGGGTCCAGGATGGAGCTGATATGTTGGGGTAGGACAGAGGAATAGCAAGGAAGGGCTTCTGGCTTCTGTCTCCAGTGTAGGTCAACTTTATACCAACACTGAAAAAAAGGATATTGCTCCTTCTCTGGATTTTGGAAGAATTTGTGACAGATTATAAGAAAGATTGGTGGGGGGGGGAGTAATAAAGGAAGATGTAACCACTCCATATCTGAAACAAGAGGCTGAGTTTACTGCTTGCTTAAGCAAGGGGGAGCTGAACTTGCAGGGCACAGTCTCCCAGCAAGGCAGGAAGCGGGCAGTTCAGGATGAGCCACCTGCAGAGCATGTGGGAGTCGGTTGACCTGGAAGCATGGTCAGCTGAGTGAGGCTGTCGCTGACTGTTTATTTTCAGGAGGCAAATGGTTCCTGATGGAGCACATGGTTTCAGGAGCCGGGTCCCTGAAACACGTGGTCCTGTACACCAGGGTTATAGCTGGTTCCAAGAGTCATTGGTGTTATGGCCACATGACAATGAGTCTGTTCCCGAGAGGATGGGAGCGCTTTATTCTCAGGGAAAGGGGAGGGGATGGTGGGAAGTTCATGCCCAACAAGGTTCTCGGTGTAGCAGCCCGAGTGGAGCCTCGCTGCTGGGCCAGGGCTGATTTCTAAAGGAGGATCCGAGGACACCCAGCGGCTCCTGGATCTGGACTCAGGACTCGGTTGTGAGAAGAGTCCTACTCCCTTCAGCCTCCCTATGTCTGGTGAGAAGTTGTATTTCCAGTTGATTGGGGGGACATCTCCAGGATGGCCCCCAGGTTCCTCCTGGGCCTTCCCTCTGGCACGATGACCTCTGTGACCCCACACGGCTGGCCCAGGGTCTGCAAGTGAATCAGAGCCTTGGGAGCCTCCGCTTCTGCCTGGCTGTGCAGCAGCCGGGCCCAGCTGTCAGCCCCGGACCCAGAGGGGCTGAAATTCCTCGGGGAGGTTTCTCGCCCTCTTAGTGCTTTCTTCCAGCTTGTCTGGCAAGAGAGAAGGCTTCGGGAGCTTCAAAAGGGGACCGTGGCACAGACCGCTCTGAAGGGGATAAAGAGCTCAAGGAGAAAGATATCACCATTACAGTGTAAACAGTCAGCACTGGGGGCCGGGGCCGGGTGAACAAGAGGCTCCCGTTACGTGCTGCCCGCACCGCAGTTCACGGGTGGTCCCGCCGACTGCTGGTGCCTGTGGGGGCAGGGGCCTTCGAGGAGAGACAAGGAACAGGGGGAGATTGGAGCATGGAAGAGGGGTCCCTCCTACTCTGAGTCCAACCAGGACAGGGGCCAAGTCTCCAGAGCGTGTCCGTGGGAGGTCAGTCTGGCAGCAGGGCCTCCCCGCTGTCACCCAGGTGACGCCCCCTCAGTGTGAGAGGAACAGGGAGCGGGCCCAGCTCCGTGAGGAAGCCCGCAGCCTCCTCCGACGGTCCTGCCTGGTGTTCATGGCGCTGAAGTCATCTCGGGGACTGGAAACACACCATGTTTTTGGCTTGGAGTCCCGTGGCCTCTGAGGTGGGGCCCACAGACAGCTAGTGGGAGCCAGGCCTTCCTGGGCCTCCATCACAGCCAATGTCAGGGGCAGGGGAGCTCTCCAGGCTTCCCTCAGGACAGGGAAGGGTCCGCTTTCTCTAGGAAAATAGCTTCTGGGCTCCGGTGCTGACAGACAGCCACCTTTTCACACCAAGGCTCTGTCACCGCCCTGTCTGGAGCCTTGAGTTCCCACCAGAGTTTGTGGAGGGGCCGCTTCTGTCCACCCACCTCGCAGACGTCTGGCCTGCTTCTCGGGCTTGGAGCCGACACGGTCCTCCCTCCTCCTCTGCTCTGCTCTGCTCTTCATCTGGGGGCGGGATGGGGAGGATGTGGTGAGGGGCAGATTTGGAGGCAAATCTGGGTTCAATTCCATTTCAGCCACTTACTGGTAAATTTTAAAATTCTGCCTCACTTAACGTTCATGGTTTTGGGTGATCCGGGGCCTCAACTTCTTCACTTGTAAAATAAGGAGGTAGAAATAGCTTATTTGTAAATCTGCTTTCAGCCTTAAATTCCAAGATCATGTCACTCTCCTGCTTAAAACATTTTCCTGCTTAAAAAAACGTCAGTGCCTCCCACTGTTTAGCAAAGCCCTGACAACCTAGGGTGGCACCCAGGGCCCAGCCTCCCCGCCT